GAAGAAAGACGCGGGAACAGAAGAAGAAGAAGAAGAAGAAGAAGAAAGACGCGGGAACAGAAGAAGAAGAAGAAGAAGAAGAAGAAGAAAGAAGAGGGAGAAGAAGGCAGGAGTAGACATAGCGGGCCTGAAGAAAGAAGAAGAAGAAGAAGAAGAAGAAGAAGAAGGTGGGGGGTCCAGGGAGGACGCAGCGGGCATGAACAAGGAGGAGGAGGAGGAGGTGGGAGTAGACACTGTGGCCAGGACGACGGAGAAGAAGAAGTAGACACTGTGGCCATCGTGATGATGAGCATCCGCATGCCCCCAAAGCTGGAAGAAGACGCAGCAGACGGTGAGATGAACATTGAAGCAGTCCTCGACGATTTCTTCTTACAATTCTCTTCTTCTTCTTCTTATTCTTCTTCTTGTCGTTGCTCTACTCACGCCAGAGAGCGGAGGAACTCATTCTCTCTCTTTCTCTTTCTCCTCTCCTTTTCTCTTTCTCTCTTCTTCTTCCATGTATGCCGGTGCTGCCACCCCCTCGCGTCGATTCTCACCGTCTCTCTCCTCCTCCTCCTCCTCCTGCTGCTACTTCTTCTTTGCCCTTCCCCTCCTCGTTTTTCTCAGACCTCCATATCCCGACCTTATCTCCAATCGACAAGAGTGCTGGTAACGTCTCCGGTGCAAATTTTCTTGCAAATAAAAAGCACTCCCTATTCTTCTGTCCGTTCCACTCGCAATACTTTTGCCTTCGCATTTCCTCCAGAAGACCAACTGACGTGTCATCCCCTCTGTACGTCTTAGGATGGGGGCTCGGAAGATCCCAGTGCGTCCACGTCAGCGATCGAGAGTTCACGTGGTCGGGATCTTTCACGTGCACTAAGGACTGGATATAATGCTCGTCGGAGAAACAGATCTTGTCTGGAATACTCGCGCATTTTGTCCTGTTACGGATCACGAGGCAGTACCTTTTGGGCAATCCCGTGCACCACATGGCAAAGGAAGCGTAATAGGTGACGTCGGAGACGACGAGATGGGCGTGAGGTCGGGCAAGTGTGAGCCATTGGGATCCCTGTCTGAACTGGTCGGGTCGAAGGACCGACCTCAGCTTCGCCGGATACCTTTCTGTATTCACTCCCCCGGCGACGAAACTCCGCGATGTACTAATTAGGTAAGTATAGATGAAGGGGAAGCTCCGAATAGGAATGCACGCCTCAGACACTAGAACGAAGTGTTGATTCAAGGGATCAAGGAGCGCATGCGCTAGAAGACGCCTCTCCGCGTTAATAATCGTCGGCGATCCCCATTGAACGGGTTTACTGGGAATTACGTGCTCGGAGAACCGGAGAGAGGAGGAGGAGGCGGAGGAGGAGGAGGAAGAGGAAGATTCTCCTTGCGAGGAGGAGCCGCCAGTCGACGTGATGTTGTCTTCAGAGAAAGGGTCGCCTGAATGGACATAGACGGAGTAGTAGTCGTCATAGCCATGGAAGAACTTTTGCCAAAAAGGGGCCAGGGGGACTGAATTCTTAACGAGGAAAAGGAAAGCGACGCGGGGAGCATACCGTGCACGCTCAGAGGCTAACTCCAACAACTCAATGTCTTCATCGGACAAACGCCCAAATGCCCCCATCCTGTCCACCTTCTCCATCTGCTCCATCGTCTTCTCCGTCTTCTGATCGGCATCGTCATCATCATTAACACCAGCAGCAGCAACAGCAGCAGCATCCATATCAACAACGTTTTCTCGACGTCGATCGCCATCATGATTGCTCAAGTCTTCAGCAGCAGCAGCAGGAGAAGAAGAAGAAGAAGAAGAAGAAGAAGAAGAAGAAGAAGAAGAAGAAGAAGAGGGAGGAGGAGGAGGAGGAGGTGATGTTGTCTGATTGCTGACGAGTGAATGGAAACGATAGAGAGTTTGAAGAACTCTGTAATGCAGATGAGCGACATACGGCACCATACTAGCCGCCCATCGGTGATAGGATCGGCCACGTGTCGAGATCGGGGCGGATCGATAGGAGCTGGGATCGAGCTGTGGAATCTGCGGCCATACCTGAGCCGTTATGTTGGGATCGAACTGTGCTGTCGGGATAGCGACCGACTTGTTGCCTTCCTGTCTGCCATATATGGCAGCTGAAGCAGAAAGAGAAAAACTGCCGCCATCCCGACACAGCAGCTCGATCGGACTCGGGATCCTCAGATCCACTGTCCTTCCTCTTGCCCTCCTCTTCTCCTTTTCTTCCCTCTCCTCCTCCTCCTCCTCCTCTTCCTCCTCCTCCTCCTCCTCCTCCTTCATAGTATAACTTGACGGAGCAGCAAAATCTGATGAAGATACACCTTCTCTTCTCCCATCCTCCCTGTCTTTCTCTCTCCATCTCACCCCCCCACCACCGGTGTGTTTTCTCTCAGAGTCTGACTTACTTGACAATGTACTCGTATTGCTGCCAACTCTCCCACGCTCGCTGGCAGTGGTACTCCTCTCGGCAACACGTCGGCCCGCACAGAGAGAAGGAGGAAGACAGGAGGAAGCCGTTGTAGGCATGGCAGGGGACGGGTGTCCCCTTCCGCCCATCATCACCATCGTGTTCGATTTGCCTTCCTCCTCCTCCTCCTCCTCCTCGCTGGTCATATCCACCCCCACTCGCGCCATCGCCGTTGTTGCAGCTTCTATGTAAAGAGCGACGCCGCTCGCCGTCTCGGTAACGATCGTGCTAGTCGAGGAATTCCTTAAGGCCCGCAGAAGATCCTCGGTGACTTCCACGTGGCCGTAATACCCTGGAAGTCCGCCTCCATCGCCATGATGATGATGATGATGATGGCCACCGTGCTCGCCTTCAGTCACTTCGTCCCCCCATGGTAGGTCTTCTTCTTCTTCTGCCGTCACGATATCAGGTCGTCTCGATCGATCCAGAACCTCTGTCTCGACGGCTTTGTTCGGTATCGTCGATCTCGATCCCGACATCTCCGCCTCCATCTGCTGATGCTGCCGCTCTTCAAACGGATGCGTTGACTTTGACTCCGTGGCGTTCGACTTTGACGTTGACCTTAGCCTCGTCGACTGGGTGGGCGGCGCAGGAGGACCGGCGGCGCCGACGAGCTCGCACCAGTCGAGACACGTGTCCTCCAGAGCAAGAAGCAAGAGACCGACGTTCCTCTTGTTGACCTCGTGCTGCCGCCGGGATACCGACTTGCCAACGGCCATCCCGCCGCCGCTCGTCGGCGGTGGCCCCGGCAACCGTAGCCAGATTGGCCAACCTGCAGTCCATCGGGATCCCGACCTCCCTCGCCAACTCCTTGCCCCGTCGCCGCCGTCGTCGGGATCGATCTTCTTCCCGGCGTCGAGCATGAAGACGTCCGACACCGTAATTACCACAGTCAGAAGCACAGCCATAGGTAACAAAACCCAAATCGACGACCATGACTTCAACCGCTTGATTTGCCACAAAATCCTCGCCATCTCTCTCTCTCTCTCTCTCTCTCTCTCTCTCTCTCTCTCTCTCTCTCTCTCTCTCTCTCTCTCTCTCTCTCTCTCTCT